TATGTTAGCCTTGTAAAGCAGCTGTTTAATAGAACAATCCGAAGTAGCCTTTCATTCCTGTTATTCTCTTATTTCCCTCGTGGCATGGTTACATATTGGTTAAAAATAATAGCGAGGTCAAGAGCGCAACCTACAATTGAGTCTTTTTCGTACCTGACAATGACTCACCTGTCCTTGAGAGAATTCCGATCGATCAGCTTGGCCCTCGGTATCAATTGATGTCGCTTGGGCAAATCGAAGGTCGATTGGCCCAGCCGAAAATGTCGCGCCGCTTCTCGTTCCTGTCGAGAGTCGTCCTCCGATATCACTGCGAGGCTCCTCGTGCGCTTCAGCAGCTTCCTGCGATCCTGCGTCGACTCTGCCGAGTGGGAGTCGTAACGGCTGCCCTCTCTACAATTAAAATCGTGCAATTGCGTAGTCTAATTCATAGGAAACGCAATCATAATAAAATCATACGCTGTGACAGGTTTCCACCCGTTTCCCGGTGGCTACAATGTACGCGCATAATTAGCGTATATTTTGCATTATACAGCCTGTATCAGAAGTGGTGCGTTTTCTCCTAGTCACTAATCTTCTGACGAATTTAAAATAATTTTCATCTCAGAATTAAAAAGCTGTATAACTTGGTTTAAGTCTCAAAAATCAAGAAGACTTGTGAAGACACCAATTAATCTTCGAATTGCTGCAAATGAGTTACCGAGGAATCTTACTCTTGAGCTAATTTTACTTAAGTACATTGCACTTGGACAGATGTTCTGTCCGAAGTTTAATTTCGATTATTAATTAAAACTACTGCGACTAATTGCTTCGAGTTAAATTTTCGCTGAAGAAAAATTAATCGCAAACTCGTCAACTACTCAAGATCTATGAATAATCAAACATTATGGATACATAGTTGTTCTCTATATATGTAGTAAACGGATGTAAAATCGCGAACGTTTATAAAATGGTAGCGCGTAATAGCTATACATTTAACAGCTAATAAACTTTCGAGCACCGCCCTACGTCCTCGCTAGTTAGGACATAGAATGACGTAGCTTCAATATCCCATTAATTGCCATAAGTGACTCGAGTGAGCTGCAAAGTTCATTAAAGCACACATATATCGATGCATATTCATCTGCTCCTCTACATCATAGTGTGAACATTAAAGTGTCTACTAAGAACAATTATTTCGATGTAAATTGGCGAGTTGGACGAACCCGGAAAAATTTTTGTGCATAGAGCGCGTTGAGAGTAAAATAGTATAATAGTACAATAACGAGGAAAGTCTTTCGAGTTTCTTTATGAACGTGAACGAATTTCCTCGTTTCGTAAAAAGAAGAATGTCACTTACGGAATTTGTTACTTAAGCAACTTGTTACAGCGAAATTTATCGCAGACTATTTTTATTTCGTATTTAAAAAAAATTATTGCCTTTTTAGCGCGCAGTACGAGCTGACTGTAATCCCGTTATCGTTTTCTTCGCGTAGCCTATCTGTCTCGTATTTAACTCCAAGTTCGAACTTTAATGATAAAATAAATCTTTCAAACCGGTATTGAATACGTGATTTCATATAATATTCATTTCATGATTGAGTATACTTTTAGAATCACACGTAAAGCGCATTTAGCTTTTGAATGTAAAATGATATTGAATTCTTAGATATTTTTCTGTGTTGAAAATCTTGTTAGATAAAAGAAGAATTTGAACGTTTTCGTCCTTCGAATAACCAGCACTTTTATTATTCTAGTCGCGGAATTAAATTGCTCGCCTCGCTCCAATTTACAATTCCTAGTCCGAATTTTTCGTTGGTAAACCTCGTTTGCCTGTACAGATAAAGCGTAAGCTGCGCAAGCATTCGCAATGTGCATTGCATCTTTTATGTTCAAAACCATCATACGATGATTTTAATTGCGACTTTAAAGACGAGTTCCGATGGTCCTTTTTTAAAAATAATAAAAATTAATTTTTATGTGTAAAAGTATAAATTGATGAACTAAAACATCTTCGTTAAACTACTTCGATACTTGAACGCTAATATTATATTATAAGATCAAGATTTATCAAGTCTGAAAAAAAATAAAATCGAAAATTTTCGTTATTATCGTCAGTTTTTTACATTCGAAGTTTACGCTACTTGTACAAACTTTATATTTAAGATGAAAGAGGATCGTTGCAGCTAATTTGCTTATCTAATGTTGTTATCTAATTGCTCGTAAAAAGGGTGTTGGCCGCGAATTAATGGTAGCCTTTCAATCAACAGAGAGTAAAGGCCACGCGATCCATTGCTCCTACATTAACTATAGATGTCGAACTCGGGAATGGAACTGACATGTAATTGCCTTCTCACTTTGATCCCCTGTATACGTGCTGACAAGCTATTTAATTGATGTTCAAATAACTATAGTAGCGCAATGTACAACATAGCGCGCATGTGAAAATTTCACAGAAAATCTCATGATATAGAAAAAAGAATAAAATATAAATACGCTCTATCGAGCACATTTTTAAATTCTACAAATCTTAAATATGTCGTGATACATCGCAGGCAGTCTATCATATGCGATTATTTTCTACTTGAATGATCGTAAGCACAGTGAAAACGGACGTGTCCTTTCGGCCGACTGCTCGTCTTAACGAACGTGAATCCTTGAGGTCCGAATGCATACGGCGTATCGTCGTCTCATTGTGTTCGCCTGAGCACGGCAGCTGCTTACGTAAGATTATCACGAGTTATCTCGGTTAACTTTACACATTGTTTTCGACGTACATTCGCGGGAATTCTCAGATATCTTTTGCCTTTTCTCTGTTTTTCCTTTCATAATGCATTGCATTAATTTTTACATTAATAATTTTATCGTTCTTTAAATAATTTCTATATTAGTATTTTTTATGATACCATTAATCATTGTAGAGAATAGAATAAAATCTTTTCATACGTTATAGAACTTCTATTATCTTGTTAATTATACGGATAGACTTGAAAATTTCTTGTGGCTTTTATAACGTTTATGATTTATAGCGCTGTCTAACCACTGAACTTGCAAATAACTTTTTCCTTCCTTTCGTGCTCTCACGATTCTTGAACGAAAGCTAATCAGCGATCGATAGTGTGACAAGAACACGCTCGAATAGTGGCCAACTAGCTTATCATGTTACTTTAATTACTCGTAAACTTGTTAACGCTCGTAAATATGAAACTACGTTTATGCTACGTTCGCGAAAATCGAGGAAAACTTCAATTGCCCCGATTTCAATCGTCGAACAATTAATTCATGCTGACCGGATTTTTTGTGCGCGAGCATAGAAATAAAAATATTCGAACTGAACAATCAGATTATCGAGAAACGATGATTTGAATATGCATGAGTTATTCAGACAGGCATTTTGATCGTACGTAAAAAATATTATATTATATCGTCAATCTAGAAAATAATATTATTAATATGGTTATGCCGTCTCTATTTGAAATTATTTGATTGTGAATTTTTTGATGTAGAATAAACTGCAACATAGAAACGTATACGGTATTTTTTCAAGTGGAAGAAATCTATTTCTAACACACAGAATACATCAAGGCAGGGAATAAATATCTCAAGTATTTCGAGCGATATATATTTTGTTGAAGCGAGCTAAATTTTTCTTTGATGTCAAATATCTTTGATGTAAAAGACGGAACACACAATACTTCCATGATAATGCGGACGATGCTCGGTTTCGTCGAGACTTTAGAACACAATATATACAGTAGAAAGATCAAAATCGCTTTACCGCACGAATTTCTAACATTAAATTGTTTCAGCGCACTGAACATTTATTCTATGCGTGTAAGTTATGATAGAATTACAATCAATCGCGATGTCTTTTCAACCAGCACTGTCGTTGCACCTACATGAAGGCTTGCACAGCACAAAGGAAACGCAAAGTCTTTGCACACGTAGTGAAACGCGACGGGAATATCCTACGTGACCGGGCCGGAAGAAGTTCCGCAGGATGAACAGTCGATGGTTGACATCCGACCGACGACGAAGTTAGTCGTCTCTGTAAGACCTCAAGGGTCGAAGCGCATTCTCTTAGTTATATATTGCAGCATTTACTAAATAAAATTGTGCAATAAAGATAATCTCGGGTTTTACGAAATTTACATCAGCACGCGCGTATAAAAATTGAGTAAAATAATTTGCGACACTATTTATACGGACGATTATTGGCATTTTTCTGACTTTTTCTTTGTAAACAGCTTCTTTTTTAATTTCGTCATTCTATGAATAAATAATGTACAATTTTAAAATACAGTATTCTAATTAGCAGGCATTTACTTCAAAGTTAAAAGGTATATAAAATACGGAATTTTTCAAAATATACGTAATAATTGCTTAAATAATTGACAACATTTTTATGTAAATTCCAGTAAAGATAAAAATTGCTGCTCATTTTCGACACTTTATATTGCTATTTGTCAACTAAAAGGATTCGCGTTAAAATAAATATTCCTTCACTTCAGAGGTTATTCGCATCGAAATTGCGAACTCTCTGGCAAGCGACGAGAAAAAATCGTAACTGATTATACCGGAAATAGAAAAAAATAAATCTCAATTGCCAGTGTTTTATGGACAAGCCAGTTTAAATGAATCACCGTATAAATCTTCTTTGAAATGAAAACGTTACAACCTTGATCCTCAGCGACTCGTGTCTTTGCTGACGAAAAAATATTGTGCAAAAACATGATTGTGTAACACGTCGTTTAGGTATGATGAATAAAACTCACTACCATGACCAACGATACTACGTCTGATTCTTTAAAATGGGGGTCAAGCTAAGACGACCCAAGATGTAAGATGCAGAATCTTGTCTTCCAAATAATGCATCATTCTTTACGATCTTCAATTTGAACAGAAATTTTGTGAGACACGAAACTGTTCTGCTTTTATGTAGCTAAAAACGAATACGCAGTAATCGCAAAATAGTAATTCCAATAAGTGCACAAAGATACATCACATTTACATTTCCTTTTTGCCGGTCGCACAAAGGCCTCTTCACGATACTTTTTTTGTAAGACCTGCTATATCATCCTCTCACGCGATATGACATTAGATAAATTAATTCAGATAACTTACGGGTTCTCAAATAGCCCTTGAAACAACTGACACGAGAACAGCAGAGAAACGCGAGCTATCGTCGATTTGCCGATAACAATTTTTATTGTTGCTGGCACGTAATGAGTCGACAAGAGAGATTCGGCTCTCGAGAGGATCGGCGCCGGATAAGTTCGATTAAGATCAGCTTCGCTCGTCGATTAAGGGAAAAGCCGCCATACGCGAAGAATGATATGGCACACTCACGATTGCACGTAACAGCACCGGATGTTAAGTTTCGGCACTCGCTGTACCGGATCGAGAGCGGGCGA